GGGGCGCCGAGCGGGACGGCTAGCGGCCGCGGCCACCGCGGGCTGGGGGCGCCTCTGACGAGGGGGTGGGAGCCGCGGTGGCGGACCCTCCCCGCCGGCGGCGGCTCCCGCTCGGTAAGGGGGCGGCTGAGCGCGGGCCGGGGAGTTGGGGAGGGTGGAGGTGAGGGGGGAGATCGGGGATGTACAAAGGCTGAGTTTCAGGTTGCGGTTCGGGGTGGGCTGTGGGTGGGCTGGGGAGCGATAGATTGAGGATCGGAGGCGTTATCAGAGGGCTCTATTGTTTTCTGGCACATTGGGAGGAAAAACAAAGGGATTTATTATCATTACCCTAGAATTAATTTTTTAAAAAATGTGGCCAGGAAGCTCGGCGCTGCCGGTGCCACACCGGGATCCTCCTGGCAGCCGCCGGGAGCCGCAGCCAGTGTGTTAGGACTTCAGGTGCTTCTTGGCACAAAGCTAGACTGCGACCTCCTACCATAGCGTTTGGCGTCACCTGCTCTCCCGGCCTTGCCCCAGGGACTGAGGGACTGCGGGACTGCGTCCCGAACCCGCCTTGGGACCCGGCTGCCTCTCAAGTTGGTGTTATTTATGTTTGTCTTTTGTTGAGGGGCAGGTTTTGAATCCCCTTGGCGGCCTCATCGCCCCCGCCCCCGCCCCTCGGGTTGAACTGGCGGGGGAGGGAGCGGAGGGGGGTGTGTGGAGGAGGAAGGAGAGGGTGTTTATGGCTTTGAAAACCACTGTCAGGGTGAAAGGAGATTGTCTATGCTTTGAAGACAACAAAAACCCCAAACCAACCCCCAAACCAGGCACCACACTCTAAAGTCCTTCCTGCATGGGTCATGCATGCGGGCTGGGCCAGGAACGGAGTTTGGGGAGATTTAAGGGAAAGTGTGTGCTTCCTCAGTGAATTGTGCTTTAGGGCGATAGTGTTCAGCCTAAAACCAGACCCAAACAACAGCAACAAAATAATAATAATAATAATAATAATAATAATAATAATAATACCACCAATCTTCAGGACCTCTGTTGCCTGCTTCTTGGTAGATCTAGAAGTATTTGATTTCTGGCATATTGATATAAAATCCAGCTGTGGGATAGAGACCAACAAGCATGCGCTGAATTTTGAGTTTGTAATAAGTTAGAGGCAAGGAGAAATAAATCAGAGCTATGAAGAGAGGTTTGGAGGTAGATTTGCTTTGATTGTTAGGTTCTGTTCTCCTGTTTATCCCTATGATTTAGTCCATGTCACTTGAAAACTTACAAATATTTGATAGAATTGAAGTTGAAGTGAAACTTATTTAGCTTTCTTCTGCTTGTTTTGGCCTGAAATTGTGCTGATGTTGCTTTAGGGATGTAATGGATGAGATTATTGAGTGAGAGCGAAACAAGCCACTGTAGGAATGTTGGAAGAGTTTGTAAGCATTGATCCCAAATTTTTAATTGTACTGAAACAGATATAAACTTGTATAGTACTAAATGAAGTTGATTTATTGGACAATTCAATGACTAGTTAAAGATAGTTAGGGACTGTTAGTTTAAGGACATAACTGAAGACCAAAACTTGAACTAAAATTATGCTATCTAGTGTATTTATGTGCGTGTGTGATGTTAGTTAGGAATTCCAGATTGTGTCAGAAACATTTTTTTTCTCTGTTACCAAAGACCAGAATTATAACTGAGTCTTCTTGACTTTTAACTTTTTAATACATTTTATTTGCTATATTGCCAAGTTTTTTGAAAAGAAAGTACATAGTAATGGACTAAACATATATTCATAACATATAAATAAAAGGTATCAGACATTTATTCTCTTTTTTTTTATTACAGATGAACTTCTAGTCTTGCTTTGAAAAAGCCATTTGTGTAATTCTTGCCTGTGAATAATTTCTTGATAGACCTGTTGTGAGGATCACCAACGAAGTATGCCATTTGAGAGTTCCTTTTCTTGACCAAATACCGATGATTAGAGGAGAGTGTGGTTTTATATATATTTTTTAACATTATGAACATTGGTTTTCACTTCTGAAGTAAAAATGTTGAAAACTGAGTCTTCAGGTGAACGAACCACTCTGAGAAGTGCCTCTCCTCACAGGAATGCATATAGAACTGAATTCCAGGCACTGAAAAGCACCTTTGACAAACCCAAGTCAGATGGGGAACAAAAAACAAAAGAAGGCGAGGACTCCCAGCAGAGCAGAGGGAGGAAATATGACTCCAATGTCAACAGGATTAAAAATCTATTTATGCAGATGGGTATGGAACCCAATGAGAATACTGCAGTTATTGCCAAAACCAGGGGGAAAGGTAGACCTTCCTCTCCTCAGAGAAGAATGAAGCCCAAAGAGTTTCTGGAGAAAACAGATGGCTCAGTTGTTAAGTTGGAGTCCTCGGTTTCAGAACGAATTAGTCGATTTGACACAATGTACGATGGCCCCTCATATTCCAAGTTCACAGAAACTCGGAAGATGTTTGAGAGAAGTGTACATGGATCGGGACAAAACAACGCTATACCCCAAAGAAAGAGGAGAAGGCTGGAGGGAGCGAACCTCAGGATGAGTGGGGTGGGTCCAAGTCCAACCGGGGCAGTACGGATTCCCTGGACAGTCTTAGCTCCAGGACAGAGGCTGTCTCCCCAACTGTGAGTCAGTTGAGTGCAGTGTTTGAGAACTCGGATGCTCCCAGTGCTGGTGTTTCAGAGAAGGCTGAAGGTGGTGAAGAGTACTCAGTGACTGGGCATTACCCACTGAATTTGCCATCTACTGTTACACATCTTGACACTTTTGGTCACCTTAAGGATCCAAATTCTTGGTCTCCTTCAAACAAACAAGATGATGATGGAGAGGATGCTCAAAAGAGCAATACAACTCCAACACCAACAGTGGCTTCTAAAGGTACCCTAGTCTCAATGCCTAGTGAAGGGATACAGCAGATAAAGGAAGCTGAGGACTCTATATCTAGCCAGGAGATTCCAGAGAGAATAGTTAAAGATGTACCCGAAGAGTCTTTTGCTGAAAATAAGGCAACACCGGAGTCTGAAATTCCTTCACCACACAATGAACCTATAAAAGATGCTGAAGCTAATGTGGTTGGGAGTGAGGCAGCAAAGAAAGAGAGAAAAGAACTTGGAGGTGGTGATTTCACATCTAGTGATGCCTCTGGATCAAGTTATGGAAAAGAAGTACCTGAAGATGTAAATAATTTTGAGGGTTCCCATGTTTATGTGCACAGTGACTATAATGTGTATAGGGTAAGATCCAGGTATAATTCAGACTGGGGTGAGACTGGCACTGAACAGGATGAACAGGAAGATAGTGATGAAAACAATTACTATCAACCTGATATGGAATATTCAGAAATCATTGGATTGCCTGAAGAAGACGACATCCCAGCAAATAGGAAAATTAAATTCAGTAGTGATCCAATTAAGGTAAGTATTTTTTCTTGGTTCTTATTATTTGGGCCTAATTATACACACATTAGGTTTGACTTGAAGTTGTAAGGAATCAAGGTTGTTGATATGTCAGGGTTGTAAAGCGAGCTTGAAGGTTTATAGAGTTCGAGAGCTATCCATCAGATATCTTAGTATGTGCTTTATGGTTGCATAAACCAATAAAAATTGAGAGTCATATAAAATTTAAAGAAGTTTGGTAATTAAGAAAAATATGTAGTGGACTGGAGTATGAATAATGTGAAGACTGAAAACTGGGAATATTCCAGAAAGAATATTTTTACCTCCCTCTGAGTACCTGAAAATAATAAACTTTCCCAATTCTAAACACTGTAGATTATGAGTTAAAATGCACAATGGGAGATTAGGAAAATCTTTGACTACTCTGTTTACTTACTGTAAAAGAAAAAATTCCAGTTATCCCTTACTTAAGTATAAGTGGGTTGTTAGGAATGTTGGGAATTTTTTTAAAAAAGTATTGCTATTTGATGAAAAGTGAAAGTGATTTATAGAAATGTATTTAGCTGGCTTAAATACTTTAATTGAAAAGCTATTACTTTTAAACTGCTTTGAGTTCAGAATTTGTTATGTAGTTTTAAAATGAAACTTTGTGAAATTGATTTGTCATTCATGATTTATTTTTACCTCTTAAAAACTGGATAAATGCCAGTTGAATTCAGATACTATATTCTAATGAATTCACTCCCCTAACATTGTAGATCCTGTCTAAGAGTAGCACAAAAAAGTATATCCCCTGCGGGTGGTGGAATGTTGTTAGCTGATAATGGCTACGGGGATGGAAGTTGGTTGGTTATCAGAATCTTCTTGAAGTGAGTGCCTTTTCAAAGTTTACTTACCTACCATACCAGCTCAGCCCAATGTATGTAGAGGTATCTAGCTCAGCCCTGGCGCGTATCTAGGGGTGTCTGGAATATTGGTGTAGCAGGATGTGTAGTTTGAAACCATTTTCTAGGGGCTTTTAATGTTGACCTTTGATCGAGTTGATATCTTTTCCATTTTCTCCTTGAAATCCAAAACTATTGTGCTTGTGTTGTTTCTGTCTTAAGAAACTTCCATAGGAGACTCTAAAATATATACTTTATATGGGATTATTAAAGAGAAATTGGGTTTGCTTTAATGACAAGGTAGTATCTTGAAACTGATAATCTGTGGAGTTAGTTATAGGTAGTAACTGATGAACTTTCATTTTACTTGCTAAGACAAACTTTTGGGATGAGTTTGGGTACTGTGCTTAAACATACAGAAGTAACGTGGTTGCTGTGAAGCTAAACACTGTGACACTGATGTGTCAAATGTGATAATGGTTACCCATGGTGGACAGTGTTTGGTAGAGCTCCCCTATTAAATAAAACAAGCTTGGAAGCAGGAATAAATAGCTTGCCTCTGGAAACGCTATGAACCTGGAGAAAGGATGAAAGCCATGCAAGTGTCGAGGGCTTTCATTCATAGGGTCGCTATGAGTTGCCTAGGACTCGATGGCACTTAATGACAACAACAATGTTTAAACTATAAGATGTGAATCTTGTTTTAAAATAAACTCAGTATGTGTGCTGTGCTTACCACCTTCCTTAGTTATTCTGTCTTCCCGCTGTCTTTTTCTCTACCCCTTCCCTGCCTCAGCTGTAACTACAGTCTTCAGGCCTGGCCAGAGAGATCTCCTATATTTCACCATTCCTCTCAGTGTTGCCCTTAGAAGATCATCATCTTTTCCCTTAGGAAGAAAACAATAAGATTGCTTCACACTGAGTAAAGCAGGAGAAACTGAAATGAACTCTTCAAGGACTTTGTTAAACCCAGTGACTGACACCCTTGTAGTAGGATAGCAGTTTATGAAAATTTATCAAGTAGAACACTTCCCACTCGACCACATGGGATACCAGCCCTGTATTTGGGTTCTGTTTTTCACAGTAATATGTTAAATGGATTTGGTATTGAAATATGTCTTTTCATATGGGAATAAACCAGCTTCTTGGGTATGATATTTTGAAATGAAAATGATTATAGTTATTGTTAATTATAACAATACGCATCTTGCCACTTAATATTTATATAACAAAGACTGAAAATATATTACATGCATTCTAGTTTGGCATATTCATCAAGAGCATAGATTATAAGCATGAAATTTGTGAAACAGATAGCTAATGCACTGTGTTTTATTGGGCAGTTATGAAATGGATTAACTTTGCAAATAGAAGATGCACTCTTCGCCTTTTGAAAGGAAGATGACTATTACTCTCTCTTGTTGCTTCTATTGTTACAGAAGTGGATTTACCTGTAAACTTTCAGAGTTACTTGCACCTGGTGCTGATGGTAGTGGTTTTTAGATTACTCTCTAGTTAGGATTTTTGCCTCAGATGGTGGTAATATTTAAATCCATTAAGTATTATTGAGGGAGCTCTGGTGGCCTAGTGGCAAGAAGCTGTGCTGCAATCCCGAAGGCATGCAGTTTGAGGCCACCAGTTACTCTGTGTGAGAAGGATGGGCAGTTTACTCCCGTGTGATTAACTGCCTCTGAAAACCCGCTGGTTCCCACTCTATGGTACACAACAACAAATACAAAACAGGTGTTAATGAAGGCTTGTCATGTGTCTCTTTTTATTAGGAATTTGAATTAATTTATTCTTATGACTGTTGAGAATTTGCATTTCCACCATAGCTATTTTGAACTAGAGCCTACATTTTAACAAGACTCCTAGGTGATAGATAAGAATGTATACATAAGAGTTCTTATGTATGTATAACTATAAATATATATATATATATATATATATATAAATCATCTAGAGATCTGTTAAAATATAGATTTTGATAGTACATTTCGGGTTGAAATGAAAAGTCTCAGCAATCATTGAACTGAAATGTGGTTTTAAACCCTTATTTCTAGGCAGTGAACAGAAGACAAACATCTGTAAGGTATCTCCTCAGTGAGCTTATAGAGTTAATTCTGAAACACATATTCATATTACACAATATAAAGAGTAGTACTGAAATATCTCATATTGACTTGTTTTCTGTATGCTACAGATATTTTAACCGTACTTTGCTATGTTAAGTCAGAGTGAAAGGAATTTGGCATATCACCTAGAAGAGAGAATTCACTCAGCCACTCTGTGTGTTTCCAAGCTTTATGGAATACAAATTTCACTTCTAAATCTTTTTCCTTTGAAATTTAAACACATTTCCTCTTTCAGAGGTGATAACACATTACATGTAGAAATGAACTTTAAAACTTTTAAATGATTTCGTTGATATTCTTGTCTTTTTCTGTACTAGGTTAAATATTTTCAGCACCCTTAATCTTTCATTGTTGTTGTGTTGTAATCTTTCATTGTAGATCCCCTTTATCAGTCCTCTGTGTGAGCTTGTCCTGTTTTTGTAATCTATTTCTTCTATCACTCACACTCATTGTGGTGAGTTGGAACTGACTCATAGCTGATCTACCAGCAAGTTTTCAGAGGCTGTAAATTGCACAGGAAGGGTTTGCTCCTTTCTCTCTGTGGAATAGCTGGTGGGTTTGAACTGCCTGCCTTTGCATTGCAGCTTCCTACCATTGGCCTCCAGAACTCCCTGGTTCTTGTATGCTTTTGTTATATTCTGTCAAGTTGGAACCAACCCATAGCTGACCCTCCAATGAGTTTTGAGAGGCAGTAAGTCACTTGGAAGGATATTGCCCATCCTTCTCCAGAGGAGCAGCTGGTAGGTTTGAACCACGTGCCTTTGTGATTGAAGCACAACTTTTTTACCACTAGGCCACCAGAGCTCCCTGAGTGATTTAAATGGATATTTCCTTAAGATATCTTAGGTTTAGACCAAGTGATTTATTTTTTTTTTTTAGCATGGAGCTTATGTCACGTACTTAATTTTAAAAATGATAGGAAAACACAATTGTCAAGTAATTGAGAAAACGATGGCCTGGATTGGGCGCACCTTTGTGTCTAGACTGACATCATTTCTCTTCAGCACTCTGGAGAGAACCATGCTGCAGATTTTCCCAGTGTAGTTAATCTTTTGATTTCCTGACTGTGTTGATTGTGGATCTAAGCAAGCTGTAATTGCTAGCAACCTCAATCTCTTCTCCATCTATTATGGTGCTGCCAATTGGCCCAGTGGTGAGAATCTTTGTCTTCTTGATGTTGAACTACACTCCATATTAAAAACGACAGTCCTTAACATTGCAGCAGGTGCTTCAGGTCTTCTTCAGTTCTAGCAAGCAGGGTTGTGTAATCTGCATAATCCAAGCCATGGTTTTCTCATTAACTTGTTATGCTTCAGAAAGTTGGACAATGACTAAGGATGACAGAAGAAGAAGACGAGATGCCTACGAATTGTGGTGCTGGAGAAGAGTCTTGAACATAACTTGGACTGCCAAGAAAACAAATAGGTCTGTCTTGGAGAGGGTGAAATCAAGTCTCTCCTTGGAGGCTAGCGTTTTGAAGCTTGGTCTCACTTACTTTGGGCACATGGCCAGGAGAGGAGAAGGACATCATGCTTGGAAGGGTGGATGGACAGAGCAGGAGAGGAAAACCCCAGATGAGATGAATTGATACACTACCTGGGACAATTGTCGGAATTAGTGAGACTGGCTTAGGACAGGGAAGGGTTCAGAGCTATCCATAGGGTCGTTATGCATCACAGGCAACTTAACCAGTAATATTCTATGACAGGTTTGGAAGCAGAAGTGGCATCTACTTCCTAAACAACTTGACTCCGGAAATCTATGAACTTTGATAAATATCCATAGTTGTAGAGGGACTTCAGGCCTTGTGTTCATAGGGTCGCTATGTGTCGTGCTTGACTTGAAGGCAATCAACCACACCAGCTGTCCAGCATGTAGTATATAACTCCCATGTCTATCAATCTTTTTATTGTGATTTGAGTGAAAGTTTGCAGAGCAAATTGGTTTTCTACTCAGCCATTCATACTCATTTTGTTTTATGACATTCATTGCAATGCCA